GATTGTTTCAGGCCAAATCCCTTAGTCAGCTCTTGTATGGGGCACAATTGGTCCCCTATTCTTTGTTTATCCAGTTAGAAGTAGTTCAGTCCAAATTTGTGAGGGCTATATTACAAGTTCCAAGAGGGGTATCTAATGCAGCCCTCAGGCTTGAAGTGGGCTACCTAAAGGTTGAAGCCAGAGCTTGGCTCGCTATTTTTAACTTTTGGTTAAAACTAACCTTTCAACCAATTGGACTGACTTCACTGGTATTACACGATAACCATCAGTCACCTTGGAAGAGAGCAATATACCATAAAATCAACAGATACGTTTGGGGGGGCCACCTTGGCCGCGAAGAGTGGGGTCCGCAGCCTGGGCATATATTTGGACCCAACGCTCACCATGGAAACGCAGGTGGCATCGGTAGTCCGCACCGCATTTTTCCATCTTTGGCAGATTGCCAGGCTGCAACCCTATCTCAACACAGGGGCGCTCACTACCTTGGTGCATGCGCTCGTAATCTCAAGATTAGATCACTGTAACGCGCTCTACGTGGGGCTGCCTTTGAGGCTGACACAGAAACTTCAGGTGGTGCAGAATACGGTGGCCAGGCTCCTTACAGGAGTGAGGAAATACCAACACATCTCTCCAACGCTGGCTGCATTGCATTGGCTGCCCATCTGTTTCCGTGTCAACTTCAAAGTTTTAATGCTTACTTATAAGGCCCTAAACGGTTTAGGACCTCGATATTTGGTGGAACGCCTCCTCCCAACAAGGTCTACCCGGATCACCCGCACGAGTCAGGAGGTGAGGCTGAGGAGCCTGATGCCGAGAGAGGCCCAGAAGGAGAAAACATGAAACCGGGCCTTCTCGGAGATGGCTCCTCGCCTCTGGAACAATCTCCCTCCGGAGATTCACGCGGCCCCCACGCTGGGCACCTTTAAAACCCAACTAAAAACATGGTTATTTATCCAGGCCTTCCCTCCAGCCAATTCTTGATTTCTCTCTTACTTTTCCTTCTTTATTTTACTGCTGTTGCTGTTTGATTATTATGTATTTGTCTATGTTTTTATTATCTGATTTTATATTGCAAGCCACCTAGAGTGGTCCGGTGGGCCAGATAGGTGGGGTATAAATCAAATATATCAAATAAATAAATAATATTCAGTAGAAAGTATCCAACAAATGGGATACGTTAAGGCCAAGAGTAATCTTAGGCAGCGTATTATTGAGACAGAAAGGCAGCAGGATCTTGGTATTATCAGAAATAGGTTTATAGTTGACAGCGCATTGCTCCCACTGAAACAGGCAAAATATCTCTACTTACCCCTAACACCTAAACAATGCAAGCTCTTACTTTGACCCACTTCAGTGCACTTCCGTCAGCAGTCCAGGAAGGGAAGTATAACAACGTCCCTTACACTAAGCGTTTATGCCCCTGTAACTCTGGTGAGATTGAATCTATCTCCCATGTATTGTGCTTTTTATTCTGACATTCGAGAAGTCCATGTTAATCCTTACATAAGGGCATTCCCTGGACGATCAGAGGCACATTACACACTGCTTTTGCTGACAGGGCGATGCCCTGAGAGATATACTGGGCTAAATTCAGATATGCTGACAAAAGTAGCTAAATTTTGTGCTGCTGCAATCAAAATCCGTGAAGGAAAGGTTCCACCTAGAGCGCAGCTATAGAATCTGTAAATTGGTGTATAAATTGGTAATGTTCACATGGGCTCTACGAGCTTCAAAGTAACAATTTTGGCATTCAATGTAAGCAGAAATAGCCCATAGAGAAGGCCTATGATAGGGAGTAGGAGATATTTAGTAAGATATATGAATGTGGTTTTATATATATGTATATGGATGTTTTTAGTCCTTTGATGTTTTAGTGTTTTTAATGTTTTTAGTTTTTATGTTCCCAAATTTAAATAATGCATCTTAATTTTGCTGGTCAATGACCGTAATAAAACATTTCTTTCTTTCTTTAAATGCCTATTCAAAATAAATAGCCTGAAACTATGGAGAAAAGTTGTCATCTTTATATGTTCTTCATTGTCTGGTATAATTGAGTCTTTCATCCCAAGTTTGATTATTCAGACTGTTCTTGATGAAGAGCAGGAACTAAAATTCGGTTAACATTATAAAACTTCCATTTGAAATACACAAAACCACGTTTCTTAAATTGCTGTAGCCAAGTTTTTTTTCTCTTGTAACTAGTTCTAGTCAACCATCTGGTCACATCATCTTGGATATATTAAAGTTCTTCGTGACCTCTGTGAATCATACTATGGGTAACCTGAGCATGTGCAGAGCCTTGTCAGAATATTCTAGAGCTTCTGCGGTAGCAAAAAGATACATTAGTGCAGAACCACCACCCCCAGTATATGTGTCTTGGCGCCCTCAGTTTGTTTCAACTGCCACGCTGAGAGCCTCAATTGTTGCTTCTGTGAGTCTCTTCTAAAAGCAAAAGAAAAGTTACTGATTTTTAAAATCTTGCTTTAACCTATTCTTTATTACTACAGTGGTGCCTCGCTTGGCAATGTTAATCTGTTCCAGTCAAATCGCTGTAGAGCAAAATTGTCGTCAAGCGGGGAAAAACCCATTGAAATGCATTGAAAACCACTCAATGCGCTCCAACGGGCTAAATACCTAATCATCCATTGAAGATACTCCATAGGGCAGCCATTTTCCGGTTCCTCTCTTGCAAAAAATCCGTCCTAAAAACAGCAAGGAGCCATTTTGCACAGCGGACTGCCATTTTGAGAGCCGCTGATCAGCTGTTTTCAGACCATTGTTAAGTGAAAAATTGGTTCCCGAAGCAGGGAACCGATCATCGTTAAGTGAATTTTACCCATTAAAACATTGTTTTGCGATCGCAAAAACCTCATCGTCAAGCAGATTCGTCATTTAACAAGGTAATTGTTAAGTGAGGCACCACTGTATTCTTACTACTTTTACAAAACAACACACTCTGGCCTTAGGGCTGAAGCACACACACACCATTTTTCTCTCCAAACCATTTTTTCAGTTCATGGCCTCTTCAGGCCCATTTAAACGCTGTGTGGCCTGTGACAATAAAATTCCACTCCCCAACGGCCATGTTAAATGTCTTTTTTGCCTCAGTGAGGCTCATAAGCTTCCATGTGCCCTCACTGCAAAAACTTTAAGTGCAGAGTTCTCCGCAGTCGCCTTTCTAGGTTTAAGCTTTGACTTTGGGAGCAATCTCTCCAACCTGCTAAACCCATGGCCCAATCTTCCTGCAAATCCATCTCACACGCTAAAGCTATGGATAAGGCCGTTTCCAAAGTGACAAAACAACGTCCTTCGGCCGTTCCATCTCACTCTGATCTACGAGAGCCTTCTGTACCCCTGACATTGACTGCCACACGGGTGCAAAAGCCCAAGCAGTCAATGTAAGCAATCCCCCAACTCCAAGGAGATTAAGGGGAAGCCGGAGAAGGAGAGATTCCAGAAAATTAGTCAGTCCTTATGAGCTAAGATGAGCCCTAGATTTCAGCCAGGCCCTGCACTAATTTTCCTTCCTCAAGTCCATCCCCTTTGTTAAGTAAAAACAAGAAACACAGACAATCCATGAGTTTACACTCAGGCTAATCTGGGCTCTATATGGTAGCAAACACACATGGCCAATTAGATAGGTTAATCTGTTCAAGAAACCAATGCATGCAATTCCAAAACATTACTACTTTATTTATTTATTTATTTATTTATTTATTTATTTATTTATTTATTTATTTATTTATTTAATTTATACCCCGCCTATCTGGCCCACCGGACCACTCTAGGCGGCTTCCAAATATAAAATCAAATAATAAAACATAGACAAATACATAATAATCAAACAAGAACAGCAGTAAAGATAAAAAGGAAAAGTAAGAAAAAATCAAGAGTTAGCTGGAGGGAAGGCCTGAATAAACAGCCATGTTTTTAATTGGGTTTTAAAGGTGCCCAGCATGGGGGCCGCGCGAATCGCCAGAGGGAGATTGTCCCAGAGGCGAGGAGCCACTGCCGAGAAGGCCCGGTTTCGTGTCTTCTCCTTCCGGGCCTCTCTTGGCGTCAGGCTCCTCAGCCTCACCTCCTGACTCGCGCGGGTGATCCGGGTAGACCTTGGTGGGAGGAGGCGTTCC